TAAACGTTTAAATTGTGAGCCACGTCTCCGGGGAGATGCAGAATCAGGTAAGTTTTACTTGGCCAAGCACGGATAGACTGTTGTCGTTTCACGCAGGCGTTAGTTTACACTGTTGGAACGATTTTGATACACTCAGTAATGAGAGAAATAAAATTAGGGATATTTAACTAAAAATATCACCAATATTATCTATTAAAGTAGACAAAAAAGATAAAGGGCCAGCTTACCTCCTGCATAACCACAAGGAGGTCCATTTTGGGCAGTAAGTGGTGCTGATTGGTCACCATAATGCGAAGCCTGTTATACATGTAGCCACAAATACAATTGTTGAAAATTTCGTCAGCAACTCTAGGGTCAACTATGGCCAACCGGTCATCCAAAAACACCAAGATGGCACTTGTGTAGGCGAGGCGAGCGAGAGAAATGCGCAATTTCTGTCCACCGCTCAGTGCAACACCCTTTTCGCCCACTTCGATGGCGTCACCTTCGGGAAAACTCCGCAGATCCTGTATGTATTGAGAAGCATGAATCTGAGCACTGGATGAGACGATTCTGAGTTGCAAAGAAAGGCTGTCAGAATTATAGGGTCTGTAGTGACCCAAGTACGCGTGCAACGCCCAACCTTTCGCCTGTCACGCATGGTAGTACGCGCGCACAAATGTCTGCCTGCCTCAATCCGGTCTGGCCAATCACTTTCAAGGCTGACTCATACAAAGACCGCGCTGTAGACACTGTGAGGACTGCCGCGTTCACACATCCGACACCGGGTGGTTGTGCATTCGTCCGCCTGTCAACTTCCTCCAACCTGTTCTCTCTGTTTAATTGGAAATCCTGTCAGTGGATCCTTAGTGGCTCAACTCCGAGCGCAACGCTCGATCTCTCACTTTTCGCGGCTGCTAGCAATAACGCACTAGTGTCTACCTATCCTACTCCGGTCATGCTCTGGTGTCCTGTAATCTCGCAGAGACACAACAACTACGGGCCTGAGCAGCTTGCGAGCAATACCTTCCTGTAGAGCCCTTCGTAAGCTCTTTCCCACAGTAAAAGCTGTTCAACTTCATGGGTTTTTCCCGACTTCTGAATTGGGAGACCTTCTGTTGTCGAATTCGCCACCCTTCGAGGGACACGAATTCAGAGGAAGGCGAGGGAGACTGAGCGTTTCTAGCATATTGGTCATCGGTAGTCAGCCATAGCCCGCCTTGTCGTCAAAAGTTCAGCTAACACGCCAATGAAGCTGAAATGCTCAGCGTGGGACCACAAACAAGTCAATAATCTGGAAATTTCGTTTACGATCAGAATTGTGGAGGTGCGTCAGTCTGGAACAAGTCAATGATAAAATCTACCTTCGTTGTGGGTAAAAGTATAACTTTTGCGCTCTCTTTTCTGAAAGCATAAGAAGAGCGGAAAACCCCAGCACGCTAGGCTTTTTGACCCTCATCTAATTTAAGGTTTACACTTCTCATATTTGTTGAGATTGGAAAGCCCAGTTGAGTGAAATTTACAGGCTGGGAATGAGTATTTAAAAAAAGCTGTTGAAAGGGAAACCAATACGGAAAATGAAGAAGCGTCGACTTTCAGATGTGCAAGGAAGACGAGCAAAAAGTGTTTTTGACCACAAGAAAAAACGAAAAAGGCGAAAAAGGCGAAAAAGAGTTTGCCAGTGGACTACTTACGACATCTAAGGTTGAAATACGCAGCACTTTCTCATAGCGGACAGGATCAAAGTGTTGACCACAGAGAATTTTCTCACGCACGGTTCCAGCAAAGATCCATGCAGTCTGCGGCATGTAGGCGACGTTCGCCGAACGGCTGGCAGAACCGCTGGATAGCGGCAACTCAGCAAGTATCGCTTGCAGTAGTGAGGACTTGAGGACGACAAATATGGATCAGATCAGCAAACAAGTAGACAGAACGGCACAGAATAAAATATGATTGGTACTATTACTTCCATGCTTTCGAGTAATTGAAAAAACCAACTTTTCTCTCTCTCTCTCTCTCAATCTGCAACCAACTTGCTCGCTACAAAAATGCCAGCCACAAGGTACTTTGGGTCTGTTTTGCCACTCAGTTAAGAGGAATTGGGATTTGAGGGTTCAACTGTCGACCTCTAGTTCTCCGGCGTTGCATCTTTCTCCTCCGTAAAGTAATGTTACGAACATACCTATTTAGTCCACAACAAATAAGCCGCAATCTTTAAACCCGAATTTACTGTCCACGAAGGGCCACATTTTGTGAACCAGCGCCCTTTACACTAACCAAAAAGAGTTGACAAAGTCTGCAAAAGCAACAGCCTCTAAGGAAAAACACGAAATAATGATAATTTAGAGAATATGTATGATTTAAGACGGTAAATTGTTGGATTTTCTTCATATCCTCAAGGAAGAATGACTTCACTTGAGATGGTGGGAGTCGAAAACTCACCTTTTCCGAACCGACTGGTCCCACTATGGCCACTAACTTCGGACCTTCGATAGACAGGGAGACATAGTCGAGGGTGGGTGATTCTGACGTATCCTGAAATTTACGCAAGAATATTTGAGGGAGAAAAATGAGGGCCTCTCGTGGCAGAAGCAGGAATGATCAAAAAACGGACCTCAGGCGCGGTAACAGAAGTAGGCACAATCGAGAAGAAACCGGCTCTTCAGGCCAGTCTACCAGAGGCCCAAACTGAACTGAACGGAGTAGAAAACTTCAATTTCCTGCTCATATGGTCTCATTTAGCAGGCAGCCCCGAAAAAAACATTAGGAAAACGCGAATACGAGGGAGAATTACAGGTAAAGGCATTGCATCCTTCTAGGCGATGTGACGTTTAAGAATGTCTACAAGTACCCGGTGAACTGTTGAAAGATCCAGATGTCGAAAGAAGACCTACTTCTTACAAATGTATAATTGTTCACACTGGTTGGGAGCATTTTTCAATGGCAATAACAGTTATTGTAGGCAGTGGCAATGAGACAAAACGGGGACTAAAACACTCCGATTAAGAAAAACAGAGGGTCAAGGTGTAAAAAACCTAATTCAACTTGACTAGCCTTTAGCTGAAGTCCCTTTAAAACTAGTCACAAAATGTCTTTTGGACCCTATCCTCTACATATCTATCCACAAACCGAGTTAGAACGCTGCAGACTGACAATATGGGTTTGTCAGAGAGGTAGAGAGAGAGCGAAACCATCCATTGGTCCCATTGTGATGCAAAATTTACCCGAGTATAACTTGCAGAGTTACAATAAGTTACCTTCTAGTTTTATTTATATTGAGGTAGTTTACTACGGCTTGCCTGGCATTAGGTCGCTATGCAGGTAACGCGATACGCGGGTTTCGACCCTCACTAACGCTGCGGACGATAAGATGGACCTTATCGAGCTCCCAGTTAAGATTAGGACCAGGATAGGATTTAGGGTTGCGTTTAGGTGAGCTTGGCTCATGGTTTGCATTTGGAAGGGTTGTAGGGTTTCGTTTAGAGTTGGAAGTAGAATTGGTATTTGGGGTTTAGAATAAGGAATTCATGGTAAAGGTTAGGGTAAGTGTATCAAAGCTTGCTTTCGGTTTACCGTCATAATTTGATTTTCCACAAGGACTTACGAGTAAAGAGTAACGGTTGCCCATTACAGCCGTGGCCATCTGTGGCATGAGGATTGTAGTCAACTACAGTTTTCCTAGTGGCGCCACATAGTCTACCATTGCTACCATATGGCACATGATATCCACCTTCTAGGACTTAGGAACAGGATCTGTTGGCTCCTTTCTTAACAAATTGCGTCCTACATGACACACAGTAGGGCCTGTCCGGGAAAGACTCTGTGCGCAACTTGGACAGTATTTTGAGCTATCGTCAAATCTGATTGGTATGCTAGAAGTCACTCGGCTCTTTCAGAGCCTTCTCTTCAAACGGATTGGGCAGAACATAGCCAATCGGGACGAGATGCTATAATTACACGCAGTCTTTAGAGAGAATGACTCGCGCGTTTTGGATAAATTTTCTCCATGGCAGATTCTGTTCTCTTCCGTTTTCAAGCTGGTACTTTAGAGAACAAACACATAGTTTAAGTACTAGGCGGATTCAAAAGAGTCATCTCAAAAACTTCCTCCTTACCAACCCAGCAGCCTCTGCTTTCTGCTCCACCTACGCTCCTGCCATAGTCAACGTGCTTCGAACGCCTTTTTCGCTCTAGTCAGTAATAAGACCTTATTGGCAAAAAAGGAAAGATGTGCAGAGGTCATTTCTTACCTCGTTCCAGTTGGCATTAACGTCGTTTAGACAAATGTTCGGTTTTTTCGAGTCCACCACCTCGGGCAAAGTCTCTCCCTCAAGAAGAGGTGTGGATAGGAAACTCTGAGAAAAGAACCGTCGAAAAACTGTCACTTTATGTACAGTAGTATGGTTCACAGCAGTAAAGGAACGACCATATATATAAATATATTCCAGCACGTCATACAGAAGTCGCGATCACACTCGAGAATAAAATCAGACCTACCGAAAATATGAAATTAAATGAAACTAAAGAAATAAGAAAACAGACCAGCCGTCTTTTGACTTTTTGCATATCCCACGGAGACAAAATAACCTAAAGTCACCTAAGCCTATTCTATTTTCATGTATCACGACGTAGAACTCGAAAAAAACAAGATAATAAAACGACATGAACTGCTTGTCTGTACTTGAGTTCTCTTAACTACACAGACACACTTAGGATTGTGCCTTATTCGTAAGAAGATGCTAATCCCCAGAGTAGTAGCTGAAGAACAGAAGTTGGTCTTTGTTGAAAATTCTCTATGCTCTTTACGTCTTTTCCCAATAATCCAGGGAACTATTTCCTGTTTAGTAGCTTTTTGAAGCGTTTGAGTATACTTTGGACTTCTAACTAACCAGGTCGCGGGTTCCAGCCTCGGGGCGTCGCTAGCCCT